GGACACAGAGTCACCTGATCTGTTTCGAACCCTGTCCTTTCTCCCAAAATGCCTGCCTTTGACACACCCACTCAAACCCTCAGTTTCAGCAGATAACGTTACCTCTACTTTGCCGAGAAAATTAAAACCACCAGGCAGGACTCCCCTCAGCTTCTTGCCACTTACAAACCCACCCCATCTCTGGCCGTCTTTTCCTAAAATAAAAAACGATCTCGCACCCCGAGGCTGGGGCTTCCTCCCGGGCCCTGAATCTCAGCTCCCTCGCATCTTCTGGGAGCCGTGGGGGCCCCTCTGCGTCCACCCTGTCATTCATTTCCTGCTTCCTGCTTGCTTCTCTCCTCAGCATTTAAATATGTTCAACTGTCTCCTATCTTAAAACAGATTTTCTACCTAACCCCCCGCACCCCCATCCCCCCCCACCTCCGTGTGCCTCTGGCCCGTCCTGTGTTTCTCCAGCTGTGACAGGTGACCTTCTGGGGAGAGCGGGCCTTATACACTCGAGCTGCCCTCGAGGCCCTGGGAGCTGCCTCCTGCCCCCTCCGCTGCCCCGCTCAGCTCCTTCACCTCAGTCTCTCCGCCTCGCCTGGTGGGATCCTGGCGGGATCCACGTGCCCTGCTGTGCGTGGGGGCTGTTCTCTCCCACCTCAGGGACCCCGCAAGGGCTGGTCCCTGTGCAGGGGGAGCTCTGGGCCCTTCTGGGCGCCCTTTAACCACCTGCACGCTATTTTAGGGTTCTCCTGCCACCTTCACGGCCCTGCTCAGTCACCGCTTTTAACCCTGACCTTGAAGAAGAAGGCGAACCGGGCAGGTGGAATAGAACAGAGACGTGAGGAGGTGGCTTATTTGGGACTTATCTGCTAATGGCTCCTGCAGGGCCATGGCTTTGCTGTGCGGGTCCCCATCTGTCCAGACCCGAAGAGAAGCTGAGGAGACAGAGTCTGATGAAAGGTCGGACCCTTTATTACTGCCCCTCCCTTCCGTCGGAGCAGGACCGGCTTCTCCCTGGCCCCTCTTTCCCAGGGCTATGATGGCAGGAGAAACTTATTTGTCCCTAAGAAAACCCGGCGGGAGACACCGGGGAGCTAAATGTCACGGGCGCAACTATTTTTATCACGGACAACAGTATCTTACTCTGGGTTCCTCCCAGAGCAGGGCCTTGGACAAGGGTTTGGGTGGAGGAAGTCTTTATGGGGAGGTGACCCGGGAAGCCAACCTGAAAGAATGAGGAAGACGAGCCTGGGAGGGGAGGAAAGCCAACACCGGCTGTGTCAAGGGTGGGTCACTGCCGTGGGCAAGTGGGGCTCAACCCTTGAAGAACCACAGAGCACAAGCCTCAGCAGGGTCGCAGGGAAGGGCAGGGGGGCGTTTAGCCACCAAGTAGGCGCCTCACTGGCTGGGGTGGCCTCCGGGGTCTGTACACGGCCCCCCTGCGCCTCCGCGCCTGGGCTGAGTGGCCCTCCACTGCTTCTGAGAAAGCCCAGAAGCGGAAAAGCAGAGGTGCAGGCATGGGGGTGCGGGGTGCGGGGGGGACCGTCATGACGCCGTCCAACAGCAATGCCAAAATCAGCTGGGCCAGAGGCTGCGGGAAGGGAACCCAAAGTGTCCGTCGCATGCCAGGTGTTAGCCGGGAGCCTCTCTGCGCGGTTCCACCACCGTGTCTATGAGCCAGGTGTCAGGAGAGCAAAGCAGAGTGAGGGGGACCTCTCTCCCCTGGTGGGATTTACAGCAGGATCGAAGGGCAGCCTGGGTCCCTGCTCTGGGACCCCTCACCCGGGGGTGGGGATTCAGGGTGGGTCGCTGGAAAGAGAGTTCTTTGACACAGCTGTTGTTTTATTCTGAGTTCCCGCCACTTCCCCCTAAAGGACGCAGGCCAAGGGAGGGGCGGTCAAGGTGAGGACTCGGGGAGGTTGGACATGGGTCCCGTGGGGGAGGGTCCAAGGCCTGGGAGCGTCGTGCGCTGAGATCTGACCCCCTCGAGGCAGGCAGGAGTGCGATGTGCTGTAGATCCCGGCACCTGTCAGGGAGGAATATGACAGATAACCGAGGGCCAGCATTGAGACAGCCTGCTGCCTGAGTCTCTGGTGCCACACAGCGGGGACAGCGGAGGGGCGGGAAGAGGGGACAGAACGTTGGCCACATGTCCAGGGGCTGTGGAGGGCCTTTCGAAGGACCACCCAGAGTAGAGATGCATCTGCTCTGGGTCAAGGGTAGGAGGGATAGGACCAGCAGAAACTCTTCAGAAGCCACAAAACTGCTCCTCAGAGGAAGAGACCATCTTAACCATCTGCCAGACCCACAGACAGCAAAGCCACTTAGCCGGACGTCGTCACCTCTCCTTCAGGCGCTCATCCTGCTGGAGAGGCGGGGCAGGAGCTGGGGGCAGGGAGCTCCGGGCAGAAGTGCCTGGTAAGCTGGGAGGGAGCAGAGACACTCTTTTTATTTTTATTAAAAAAATTTTTTTTTTCTAAACTTTCATCGAGCAGAGACACTCTTTCCCGTTCCCCGGCGTAGGCTCCCAACCTGAGACAGACCCAAGCCGGGGGAGGGGGAGACCGACTTGAAGTTAAGGTTGGAATTTTGTGTTATTACACGGGACAGGAAGTTCTCATTTCTGAACTCAGACCAGAAGCCAAGACCAGAGTTCTCATCCGAGGCAGGGGAAGACCACCCTACTGGACAAAAATGAAGGGGCCGGGGGCACCCGGCTGGCTCGCTCGGTGGAGCGTGCGACTCTTGATCTTGGGGTTGTGAGTTCGAGCCCCACGTGGGGTGTAGACATTACTGAAAAATAAAATCTTTGAACCACAGCAACAGTGAAGGGGCAGTGAGCGACAGATATGGAGTTGAGTTCCCACGAGGCAGAATGAAAATCAGATTTTCAGAGCGCTTGAAAATCATCTTCTGAGAAGTCCCTTCTGCACATCGGACTGAGAGAGCTTAGGGAGGATGGTGGTGTGCGAGAGAGAGAGAGAGAGAGAGAGAATTATGTCCCTCTATGCAAGAAGCATGACATATTGTTTATGCTTGTTTATGAAGACAGGTCCAACCAATCTGGTCACACCGTGTTCACTGCAGCGGCCACGAAGGTGATCCTGGATCCCCGTCAAGAGAGAACTCGTCTTCCTCTGCAGGGATGCAGTTGATGGACAGCCTCCAGCACAGCCCCCCGGGCCCCTGCTCTTCCTGGGGAGGCCCAGCTGTGACTGCGCAGAGAGGGTGAGGGATCTTTGCTGCAGAGCAGGGACTGTCCGCTTTGCACGGTGGTGCTGGTGGCCTCTCCCTGCCTGACCCTGCTTCCTTCCTTTTTATCTTTTATGGGCTTTTCCCTCCACCCACGTGGAACTTCGTTCACCCCCAACGCCAGCACCTGCTTCTCGGAGACCCCAACGGATAGACTCACCCTTTAAACTCTGCACATTATGCATGTGACTTTGTTTTGGTTTGTTCTGATTTCTTTTTTTAATGGGAAGATTACATAAGAACGTTTTCATACTCAGACTGGGACCTGATCTACGTTTTCAAAAAAACTCCAATCCCTGAGGCTTGATGCTCCTGAAATTGAACTTTCGGGACACCCCACCTCATTCTCTCAGCAGATCCTGCTGCCCTTGAGATCGTTTCTCCTTGAAAGCTTTTCCTGACCTCCTGACTTCAAATTTGCTAGATCCCCTTGTCCTAGCCTCCCCAGATGAGTCCTTGGTGAAACTCATCAAGCTCTCAGTTAGTTGTCCGAGGTCAGATCCTTGCCCCTGATCTCTTTGAAGTCACGATCTAAAACTCTTGGTCACTGCTAATCCCTCAGGACTCAGGCCAGTGCCTCAGCCACAGAAACGGCTTAGTAAATAGCTGACGGAGTGCTGAATCTGCCAACCTAAAGGCTTGAAAAGCTGGCCCTTGACCAGAACTGATGTATCTGCCCCCATTGTGTCCTCGGTCTTGGGGACATCGCTCTTGCTTCCTGATCACAGCACAGACCCGTAGAGTTGAGTGTTTAAAAAAACCCTAAGGGTTATCCCATCTGATGCCAGACAGGTTGTGCGACGTCCAACAATCCAAGATATTCCAGTGTTAGCTTGACTACCAGGGGTGGAGACTACCTCGCAAAGCCACCACTGCCTCCTGGACAGCTCTGACCGTCAGATTTCCTACAGCTTTGGTCCACATCATATTCACACCATTTACTCTTTCCATAATGTGGACAACCTAAATGGGCTCTCTGGCCCAAAGTGCTTTTGTTAAGGGGGTCGAAAGTTTTCTTCCTCCGAATAGTCTTTCAAGTGGGGACCTAGCAAGAGCAAACTAGAAATACTCCAGGGGCACCTGGGTGGCTCAGTCTCGTGAGCCTCTGACTCTTGGATTTGGTTCAGGTCAGGTCATGATCTGGTGGCTCACGAGTTCAAGCCCTGCCCCGGGCTCCTTCTCTCTCTCTCCCTACTCCCCTTTCTCAAAATAAATAAATAAACTTTAAAAAAAAAAAAAGAGAGAAATACTTCATTTATTCATCCATTCCAGAAATATCACTTGGTTGCCACCTGTGTCTAGTGTGGGACTTAGAGAGATGTCGCAAAAGTTGGAGTCCATCTGGAGAGAGAAAGATGCTTATAAGGTCAGATGACCACAGCGACACAGGAACTTCCAAACGAGAGCTGATGCAGAGTATGCTGAGGGCTCAGGACAGGTGGTGTGGGGGGGTGGGTTGGGAATACAGGGGGCAAGGAGTCTAGGAAGGCTTCCTGGAGGAAGCGGGATCCGAGTGGCGTTCAATGGACAGGAAGCATGAGTCAGGGAGTGAACCAGATCAGCAGTTGGGCTCAGAGAGAAGTTCCCAAGACCGACAGGGAAGGGCTTGGTGAGGATAAGGGAAGTCGGAGGCTGCTGGGGGGTGGGATGTATTTCCCCTCCTAGGGACTGTCAATCAGTCGCTCTGTCTCTAGCAGCCTGTCTTCTTCATAGTCTTGGGGGCCGAGCAGGCCAACCTCCTTGGGCTCAGGGCCGCTGACATGGGGGCCCTTCGGATGCTGTTCCTGCTCCCGCTGCTTCGGGCAGGTGAGAGACGGCAGTCCCGGGACAAGAGAGTCTCCTCCCCTCTGCTCTGCTGTTCTGCTGGGGCTTGGGCTGGCTGGGCACCTTCTCTGGGGCTGGATGCTTCGGCCCTTCTGGACTAAAGAGGAGTAGGGTGTGGCTTTGGTGCAGGACCGAGAGATGAGGAAGCCTGGGCTCTAGAAAGGGGACCAGCCCGCAGCAGCCACGAAGGGAAAACCCGGAGGGGGACGACCCAGACGGAAGCCAGCCCCTGGCAGGTGCTCAAGTCAGGCACAGTGGAAAGCTAGAGCCAGACAGGTGGCTGGGGGCGAGGCTGAGTGCGGGGCCCGGAAGCCGCATGGTCCGGGGGCCGTGTGCACGCGCCACAGCCCCGCTGCCAGGCTCGGCGGCCCCGAGACACCGGTGGGGCCTTTGCCTCCGTCTCCTCCTTTCCTTGCAGCCGACGGGGATTCTGGAGATGGCGTGGAGGCCGAGGAAGTAGTCGCTGTGCTTCAGGAGTCCGTCAGCCTTCCCCTGGAGGTACCATTCAATGACAAGGTCGAGGACGTCATCTGGTCCTCTCGCATAAGGCTTGCCACGGTGGTTCCGGGGAGAGAGGGACAGCCGGCTACCATCATGGTGACCAACGCTCGATACGCGGGCAGAGTGAGCTTCCCGGACCCCAGCTACTTCCTGCTCACCAGCAATCTGAGCTGGGAGGACTCAGGGCCTTACAAGGCTCAGGTCAACCTGAGGACGTCCCAGATCTCCGCCAGGCAGCGTTACAGTCTCCGTGTCTACCGTGAGTCGAGGCTGGGAATTCTAAAGCTGCTTTTTGGGGCTCTCCTGGGCTTTGCACGCAGAGGAGTAGTGGTCTCAGGACTCAGGGCTGTGGTTTGAGGGGCTGGGACTGGAAGGCAGAGTGTCTCCGGTGTGCCCAACCCCAGGATCTGAGCTGCAGCCACCGGTGCAGTGAGGCCCTGGGCCCTAAGGCTGTTCCCTTGGAACTTCCCAACATGGTGAGAGGGGCAGGTGCCCCAGACCTCACCGGGGGGGGGGGGGGGGGGGGGGGGGGGG